GCAGAGGCCAGGCTTAGAGGCTGAGTGGCTGAGGGCCAGAGAGAAACCTGCCTGTGGGCACAGCCGAGAAAAGGCTGTCCTGTACCCTGAACCTGTTACTTCCCTAGGAAACCCCATAATCGTGAGTATTGTCTGTGAGTTCTGGGTTGCCACTGCAATGAATTATCAAATTCAGAGAGAAGCAGAGTGTGCCACAGAAGGGACAGATGGTGTCAGAATTGGTAAAAAGGGCTGGCGAGAGGAGGTATGTATGACCACCTCATAGGAATCAGCCTTGGGCTGTTGATCTTCATTCTCCTTCCCCCTTGTGAAGTTAGATGAGGTCAGACACCTCCCCCATGACATTTTTACACTTCCCTTACAAATGACTGGCTGATCACCTCAGATCAGATCACAGAGGTGATTACATTATATCACAAAATGAAAGAAAACTACATCATTACATAACTGCCGAATCACTGAGATTCATGGCCTAGCCAAGTAGACACATAACCTTAAACATCATACACATGTACAAGACAGATAATCAAACAAAAGTTTGGTTCTTTAAGAAGACTAATAAAAGTGTTGGTGAAGATGTGGAGAAATCAAAACTTTCGTACACTGCTGGTAGAATGTAAAATGGTGCAGCTGCATTGAGAAATATTCAGAGTTGTTTAACCATCACCACAAGCAATTTTAGAACATTTCATCCCCTCAGAAAGAAATCCATACCCTTGGCTGTGCTCTGCTTCTCTTCCCAGGCCCCATCCGACAGTGGTGATGCTGCCCACCTTACAGAGCCAGGTTGGAGCTGACTTCTCAAGAGTTTCAAAGCCAGCCAGGATGTTGTTTCAGAACATAGAAGAGTAAGGGAACGACTAACACAATGTTCAGGGAAGTGGCTACTTCTGACGGAGGGAGGGGCTGTGGCTTGGGAGCCACATGTTGGGGGAGGGCTTCTGAGGTGCTCGTCAGGCTCTAACTTCTCAGTCTGTGTGGGGAACACCTGGGTGTTTACTACTGTCCTTTAAAGCATACATATGCCTTGTACATGCTTATACTGAAATAAGAAGTTTCAAAAATTTTTAAAGAGACATCTTAATTAAAGGTTCTGATACTGAAGGTCGCCCAACAAGAAGTGCACTCAGCATGCCCACCATGCACACTGTTCCCAGGCACCCTCCTAATACATCACCCTGGAGCAGATTGCCACAACCACTTGATACTTCAGCAGAACTGCTGGTACAGTGACCAAAACACGTGAAAGAAATAGACCTCAAGAGAAAATACTTCAGAAAACTATTACTACTTCCTGCAGACAGATGAGAAGATACTGCCTCCATAAAGAATGGGATACTACAAAAAAAGAATATCCAAAGAACAAAAAGAGGTCTTAGAAAGTAAAAATATGCAATCAGAAATGAAAAGACTTAGTTGGAAGAACAAGTCTAGGCACTGTCCCAGAGCAAAAACATAACTAAATGAAAAAGAAGAGAGAAAACACGCCTAGAGGATCAGTTCAGTGGGACAGACAGAGTAAACAACGGAAACAAAACAGGAGAGAAACGAAATAAATGATTTAAGAAAGTTCCCCAAGTGTGAGTCAGGAGTGCAGAAGGAAAGGGCCTACATGTCAGTGTGAGATCAAGAATCAGAATGAAGTTGAACTGCTCAACAAGAATGCTGGAAGCAAGAAGATGTGACAAATTTCTGTTGTTTTAACGACCACTCCCCAGGGGGGGGAAAAAAAAAAAAGATGTGGCAACACTTTCCCAGTTTTGGTGGAGAAAAATTTGTAACCTGGAATTCTATACCCAGCTAAACTATCTATACAGGTGCATGTAAAATGAAGACCATTTTCAAACCTTCTCAGCTCAAAACAATTTACTTCCCAGGTCTCCTTTCCCAGGAAGCCATCAGAGAATAAGCTCTCACAAAATGAAGAGGTCATGGGAACAGGAAGCAGGGGATCCCACACAGGAGAGAAGGTGGGAACTCCCAGAGTAATGGTGAAAAGATACTCCAAAATAAGCACTTATGTGGTGGCACAGACAGCAGACAGTCCAAAATGGAGGAGGCTGGAAAGCTCTTGGAGAGATTTTTTTCAGTAAATTCTTCAGTCACTGTTAGATACGTTTAGGAAACAAATGTGTGGTCTCTAAGAGCTGCTGAAAATTAACACAAGAAAACAGACAGGTGAGAGTAGTCTGAGGAAGTGCCAACAGGCAGGCACTAGCTGAGCGTGGCCCACATCAGGCCTGCAGATGCAGTCAGTCTGCCTGCACCGAGCTGCTGGAGCAGCAGGACCACAGCACCTCCGAGCAGGCACCTCCACTCCCTACTGTCTCACACTGGCCTCTTGCCTCAGAGGCCTCCAGCTATGTGACAACAAGAGGAGCCCACAGCTCAGCAGCCCAAGGAGGAGCAGCAGTGCAGCCTGCGGGCTCACTGACCACTCTGTCGTCTGCAAGTAGGACATGATACTGTCACGGAGCACCTACTCTGTTGTCTGCATGTAGGACACGATACTGTCACGGAGCACCTACTCTGTTGTCACAAGTAGGACACCATACTGTCACGGAACACCTACTTTGTTGTCTGCAAGTAGGTCATAATACAGTCACGGAGCACCCACTCTGTTGTCTGCATGTAGGACACGATACTGTCACGGAACACCTACTCTGTTGTCTGCATGTAGGACACGATACTGTCACAGAACACCTACTCTGTCATCTGCAAGTAGGATACGATATTGTCACAAAGCATCTACTCTGTCATGTGCAAGTAGGACATGATACTGTCACAGAGCACCTACTCTGTTGTCTGCATGTAGGACATGATACTGTCACAGAGCACCTACTCTGCTGTCTGCATGTAGGACATGATACTGTCATGCAGCACCCACTCTGTTGTTTGCATGTAGGACATGATACTGTCACGGAACACCTACTCTGTTGTCTGCAAGAAGGACACGATACTGTCATGGAGCACCTACTCTGCTGTCTGCATGTAGGACACGATACTGTCACGGAACACCTACTCTGTCATGTGCAAGTAGGATACAATATTGTCACGAAGCATCTACTCTGTCATGTGCAAGTAGGACACGATACTGTCACGGAACACCTACTCTGTCATCTGCAAGTAGGATACAATATTGTCACGAAGCATCTACTCTGTCATGTGCAAGTAGGACACGATACTGTCACAGAGCACCTACTCTGCTGTCTGCATGTAGGACATGATACTGTCACGGAGCACCTACTCTGCTGTCTGCATGTAGGACATGATACTGTCATGGAGCACCTACTCTGCTGTCTGCATGTAGGACATGATACTGTCACAGAGCATCTACCCTGTTGTCTGCATGTAGGACATGATACCGTCATGGAGCACCGACTCTGTTGTCTGCAAGAAGGACACGATACTGTCATGAAGCACCTACTCAACACCAGGCACTGTCAGATGCCACAAAGACCAAAGAGGCAGCCACAGAGGTTTGTATAAGGAAAGTTACAGAGGAACACTGACAAGAGTCAACCTAAATGGCCAGCAACACTAAGTGTTCACTCCAAAACAACTCTCAGGGGATGAGAGAGGTCTGCACATGTATTCACGATGATGCTTCTGGGACACAGTTTGGGCAGAATCAAATTTGTCAGGTTAATCACCCAGTCCCCACAGCAAGCAAAATAAACAAACATGATTACATACAGCCCACCCATCATTGGCCCACCCTCCACCATCCTACCCAAGATGGCTGCTGGTTCAAAATGACAGTAAGTCCGCAAGGGCCTCAGAGATGACAGAATCTAAGCCAGTATTTATAGGCGGGAAAACCGAGGACAAGGAGGTCAGATATCCACTAAGGGACTGAACTGAGGTCACCTGCTCAGCCTCTGTGTCACCCCACACCATGTCATCTTGAGAAATCCTGGAAAGAGACATTACCTGCAGGCACCCCAATGGCAGCTCATGACACACGAGCACACCCGCTCCCACTGCACGAGTCAGGCCTTTAGTGCCGTCCACGCAGCGCACCACTCTCCCAGGACAACACTGCCTCCCCCACTCACATGGCAAGCTGTTCTGGTGTTTACAATAAGCTAGGGCCTAATACTAAACGGCATAGTGGTTAAGAGCTATGACTGCTAACCAAAAGGTTGACAGTCTGAATCCACCAGTCGCTCCTTGGAAACCCTATGGGGCAGTTCTGATTTGTCCTACAGGGTCACTATGAATCGGAATCAACTCAATGGCAATGGTTTTTTTTGGGAATACTAAAAGGTTGGTGGTTCGAACCCACCAGCCACTCCACGGGAAAAAGATGTGACAGTCTGTTCCCATAAAGATTACAGCCTTGGCAGCCCTATAAGGCAGTTCTACTCTGTCCTATAGGGGTGCTTTGAGTTGTAATCAACTTGACAGCAATGGGTTTTGTTTTGTTTTTTTTTTTCTAAATCACTCCCCAAGAGATCAGGTGACTTTATCTCCAATTTCTCTTTCTCCTTCCCTTTCTCAATTTCCCTTATTTCTTTGGATGCTGGCAGGGCAGGGGTGTGGAGGGACACTAACTGAAGCACAGATACCTGTACCTCAGATCTGCACCCTTTTCCCCATCACTCACACAGTAGCCATGACGTCAGAACCCGCAGAGGCACCGGCAGCCCAGGTGGTTACAGTCACCTCAGAGCATGAGGCCATCTTCAGACAAAAGGACAGGACCAAACAACAGGAAGATGTTGAAGATGTGTGCCTATGTCTGGGCAAGCTCCAGAGTGGGAAAAAATGGGGGCAGGAGTTCTGAGGGCAGACAGAAAGAGGCTGTGGAAAGAGATCGATGTTCAAGAGTACCTCAATTCCTCTGTGCCACACAAAGATCCCTCAGGTCCAGAAAGCCCTGAGCCTGAGTTATCCCTTCACAATCAACGTGAGCACCAAGTGATAGTAAGTGCTGATCACAATAACTGAGGGAGGCCAACTGATACGCAAACGTGCGTCACCCAAGGAAAGGATACGTGGTGTGCCCTCTGTCCGGCAGACCAGGTAGAGGCAGGCGGCAATCACGTGGGCCATCTTCCGCCCCCGCGTCAGGTGCTTACTCACAGCCATCTTGAAGAAGTTGAAGGCCGTGTCGAGGCAGTGCTGGTTCAGCTGCAGCTGATTCCCCAAGTGGTGGATCTGCCTCTTCCCTGGATATGGAAACACAACTGCATGCTCAAAGCGGTGAAGGAAACCATGGAAAAAGAACTACAGGAAATCAGGATAATGATGTCTGAACAAGTGGGAAATATCAGTAAAGACACAGAAGTTATAAAAAGAAACCAAACAGCTCCCTTTGCCATGATGCCAGAACTGGATGGTGCCTGGCTACTATTACTGAACATTTTGATTAAAGATTCTATAGAAGAATCCTGATCAAAAGGGGGGAAACGTAGAACAGAATTTCAAATTCTCATGGACTCTAGATTTTATGAAGACACAGAGGCTTGATGAAGCCCTGAAACTATTGCCCTGAGATAATCTTTAAATCTTAAACCAAAAATATTTCCTGAAGTCTTCTTAAAGCCAAATAATAGTTTAGCTTAACTAGTAAAGAATGTCTGCCTTGAGCCTTGTGCTCGTTTAAGATCTACCTATTTGGGATCAAACTGACAACAGTAACTCGAAGGATTAGGCGGAAAATTTAGGGTGCAGTGAATTTATGTTAATGGGGGAGGAACAAGTCAGAAAAGGAAGGTGAGAATGGCTGCACAACTCAAAGAATGTAATCAATGTCAGTGCACTGTACACGTAGAAATTGTTGGACTGGTGTATGTTTTTGCTGTGTATATTCTCAACAATAACAAAAACAAAATAAATTATTTAAAAAAGAAAGAAAGAAGCCAAGCAGAAATTCTAGAGCGGCAAAGTACAATAGCTGAAATTTAAAAAAATCATTAGGTTCAACAGCATATTGGAACATACAGAAGAAAGAAACAGCGAACCTGAAGATAGGGCAATTGAAATTACTCAGTCTAAGAAGCAGAAAGAAAAAAGAATGAGAAAAGATGAACAAAGCCTGAGGGTCCTAAGGGTTTAAGGGATGCCAGCAAGCGGGCCAGCATAACGATTATGAGGGTCCCAGAAGATCAGAGAGAGAAAGAGGCAAACTAACATTTGAAGAAGTAATGGCTGAGAACTTGACAAATCTGACAAAATACATGAATCTACACACCCAAGAATCACAAGGAACTCCAAGCAGGATAAACTCAAAGAGACTCACGCCAAAACATTATAATCAAACTGTCAAAATACAAGACAAAGAGAGAATCTTGAAAGCAAGAGAGAAGCAACTTGTCACATACAAGAGATCCTCAACAAGATTAACAACTGATTTCTCATCAGAAACCACAGAGGCCAGAATACAGTGGGATGATATAACAAAACTGTCAACCAAGAATTCTATATCAAGAGCACATGGAACAATCTCTAAAATTGACCATATGCTAGGCCGTAAAACAACTCTCAATAAATCTAAAGAGACTGAAATCGTACAACGTATCTTCTCCAACCACAAGCTAGAAATCAATAACAAAAGGAAAACTGGAAAATTTAAATACATGGAAATTAAACAACACATTCAAACAATCGGTGGGTCAAGGAAGAAATCACTAGGGAAATTAGAAAATACTTTGAGACTAATAAAACTTAAAATGCAATTACCCAAACTTATGGGATACAGTGACAGCAGTAGTCAGAGGGAAATTTATAATTGTTAATGCCTACATTAAAAAAGATCTCAAATCAACAACCCAGTTGCACACTTCAAGGAACTACAAAAAGAAGACCAAATTAAACCCAAAGCTAGCAGAAGAAAGGAAATAATAAAGATTAGAACAGAGATAAACAAAATAGAGAACAGAAAAACAATAGAGGAAATCACAGAAACTGAAAAAAAGTTCTTCGAAAAATCAACAAAACTGACAAAACATTAGCTAGATTGACCAAGAAAAAAATACAGAAGACTCACTACTAAAGTCAGGAATGAAAGAGATGACATTACTACTGACCTTACAGAAATAAAAATGATTATAAGAGAATGCTATGAACAACTGTCGATGACAATGCAGATAACCTAGATGAAATGGACCCATTCCTTAAAAGGAAAACTACCAAACTAACTCAAAAAGAAACAAAATCTGGGTAGACCTGTAAGAAGTAAACAGATTGAATTAACACTGAAAACACTACCTACGAAGAAAAGTCTGGGCCTAGATGACTACACTGGGGTATTCTACCAAATGGTTAAAGAAGAATTAATGCCAATTCTTCACAACTCTTCCCAAAAAATAGAACCAAAAAACCAAACCAAACCTATTGCTGTCAAGTCAATTCCAACTCATGTTGCTGTTGTTGTCAGGTGTCATCGAGTCGGTTCTGACTCATAGCGACTTTATGTACAACAGAACAAAATAGTGCCCGGTCCTGCACCATCCCTACAATCATTATTATGCTTGAGCCCATTGTTGCAGCCACTGTGTCTGTCAGTCCAACTCATTGAGGGTCTTCCTCTTTTTTGCTGACCCTCTACTTTACCAAGCATGATGTCCTTCTCCAGGGACTGGTCCCTCCTG